CCCATGTCCCCAGGTGGTCCCCAAGGTCTGAGGAGGTCCAGGAGGTCCCCAAGGTTCCCAGGACACCCCTGGTGTCCCCAAGGACCCAATGAGGCTCAGGAGGTCCCCAAGGTCCTACAAAGTTCAGGAGGTCCCCAGGAGCCGCCCAGTGTCCCAGGTGGTCCCCAAGGTTCAGGAGGTCCCCGAGGTCCTCGGGACCTCCTGCTCGCCCCCCCGGGGTCGCGCCCTCACCCCTTAACGAGCTCGACGACGAGGAAGTCGTTGCCATTGCCGCTGTTGAAGAGGATGAGGCCGTCGGGTGCCGTGGTCTTGAACTGGAAGAAGAGGTGCATGGAGGCGTAGGCCTGGAGCGTGGCCAGCGCCACGTAGGAGCCGCGACCGCGGAAGGCCACCGGGTCGGCCACGATGGTCCGGCGGCCAAAGCGGGCGTTGAGCTCGCAGGAGCTGATGTCCCCGTTCTTGCAGAGGTCCAGGTAGGGCAGCCCGTTGAAGAGGAGCCCGCTCAAGTGACCCAAGAAGTTGGAGGGCACCACGGCCAGGAAGCGCCGCTCCGTCACGATGCCCGTCTCGATGTTGTGGAACTCCAGGCGGGTGTGGGCGCCCGACATCTGCCCTGTGGGGGGGCAGCGGGGGCGGTGGGTGTCCCCGTGCACCCGCACACCCACGCACCGCGGCCTCGTGGACCTGAGCACCGACGGCCCCACGTTCTACGTCCCTGCGGACCTGCAGCCCGTTGCACCACGTCCCCGTGAACCTGAGCACCTGCGTCCCCGTGGACCTACAGCCCATTGCACCACGTCCCCGTGAACCTGAGCACACACGTCCCTGTGCACCCACGTCCCCGTGCACCCACGTCCCCATGGACCTACAACCCATTGCACCACAGCCCCGTGGACCTGAGTGCATCCACGGCCCCGCGTTCTACGTCCCTGCAGACCTGCAGCCCATTGCACCGCGTCCCCGTGGACCCGAGTACCTGTGTCCCCGCGCACCCGCATCCCCACAGACCTACAACCCATTGCACCGCATCCCTGTGGACCTGCAGCCCCATGCGCCGCGTCCCCAAGCAGCCGAGCCCTCGCAGACCTGGGCGCCTGTGTCCCCGTGCCCACGGCCCCCGCGGATCCGTGCGCCCATCGCCACGCGGCCCCGCGGCCCCGCGCCCCCGTCCCCACGCGCAGGCACCTTCGACGGTGACGTTGTCAACGGAAAGCTGGAGGCTGCGCCCGCGCCGCACGACCCGCACCGTGTGCCACTCGTTGTCGTCCAGCTTCTGCCCCGCAAAGAGGGTCTCGGGGCCCTTGCCTGGGGGGCGGGGGTCAGCCGGGCCGCACCGCGACACCGGGTGACACCGGGCACCGCCGGGTGACACCGCGGCACTGGGCACCACCAGCCGACGCCGCAACACGTGGCACGGCTGGGTGACGCCATGCACGCGTCTGCAAACGCCCCGTGCAAACACACGCACGCCCCCCTGCAAACCGCGTGCACGCAGACGCACGCTCCCCTAAATATTGCGCACAGCTACAAACACCGCGCACACACACGCCCCGCAAGCAAACACCGCGCACCCCCCCGAAACACCCCGCGCACACTCCAGCAAACACCGCACACGCTCCCCTAAATATTGCACGTGCGCACACCTGCAAACACCGCGTGCACGCCCCTAAACACCATCTGTGCACACACACCCCCAGCACGGTGCGCTTGCACACCCCTAAACACCGTGCACGCGCACACACGCACCTGCAAACGCCACACACGCTCGCACACCCTGTGCACGCCCCCCCAAACTGTGCGCACTCACACGCCTAAAGCCCCGCACACCCGCCAACACCGTGCACACGCACCCCCGAGCAGCGAGCACGCCAACGCACTCCTACAAACTTTGTGCACACCCGCCCCTGCGCAGAGCGTGCAAACACCAGCATGCACACCTGCGGCTGCAGACATGGGGTGCGCATGCCCGCAACAGTGCGTGCACGCTCAGAGCCTGCACACGCACCCACGCACTACGCTGTTTGCACATGCAACCTGCAAGCACCGTGCACGCGCACCCACGCGCACCCCAGCAGCCCGCAAGCGCTGCGCATACACACGCGCAGCCCCTCGCACACACACCCGTGTGCACACACCCCCCCGCCGCCCCCAGCCCTGCGGCGGACACGAGGACACGCACGAACCGGGGGACACGGGGAGGGAACGGGGGTGGTGCATGCAGGGGGGGTGTGCGTGCACACGCGTCCATGCACAGCTGCTGTGCGTGTCTGTGCACAACTGCAGTGTGTGTGCACGTGTGTGCACAGCTGTAGTGTGTGTGTATTTGTGCCTGTGCACAGCTACAGAGCGCGTGTGCACGTGTCTGCACAGCTGCAGCGTGCGTGTGGATGCGTGTGTGCGCGTGCCCATGTACAGCTGCAGTGTGCGCGCATGTGTGTGCACAGCTGTAGCATATGTGTACGTGTGTCTGTGCACAGCTGCAGTGCGTGTGCGTGGATGCACGTGTCCATGTACAGCTGCAGTGTGCACACACGTGTGTACCCGTGCACGGCTGCAGAGCATGTATGTGCACTATTATAGCACATATGCACACGTCTCCGTGCACAGCTGCAGAACACGGGCATGCGTGCGTGCATGCGTGTGCATGCCTGCAGCCCGTGTGCATGTCCATGTCCGTGTACGTGGCCTGTGCGAGCACGCATGTGCTCCCGCCCCCCCC